TAAATAAAATCTGAAAGGTACAATAGATATTGTGAAAGGGAAAGACACTGCTCAAAAGGAAAGAACAACTAGGATGAGGGAAAGGAGAAAAGAAAGAAGGGGGAAAAGTATATATATATATACACAGGATAGGTAAGATAATTGTACTGGTGATTTCTATTGGTTTATTGAAAGGAACAGTTAATGCTTAATTTTTTTTGACCAATTTAGCATGTTTATATCTGGTAATATGAACAACTAATTTGAAGACAACAGTATGCAATGTAACAACCATTGTTGAATTTGTACCACCTTGTTTTTGTGAAATTTTGTATCATTTCTAATGGTTTTTTATTATTTTTTTATTTTCTTTAAGATAAAAAAAATTTTAAAATATCAGGGGCCTGAGATGAGCAAAAATGTAAGTTATTATTGTTACCTCAACATAAATTAATAAATATTCTTCGATTTTCAGTTTTAATAGTTTTCTTTTCTGTGTGTGTGCACGTGTATGCGTGCACATGCATGCGGCACTTGGCACTGGACTCAGGACCTTCACACTGAGCTCCATCTCCAGTCTTTTTTTTTTATTTTTAGACAGGGTCTCCCTAAGTCACTAAATTGCCCAAGGTGTCCTCAAACTTGTGATCCTCCTGCCTCAGCCTTCCAAAGTGCTGGAGTTCCAGACATCTGCTGCCACATCTGGCTTTGAGTGTCCTCAATTCTTAACAGTGCCAGGGGATCCTGAGAACATAATGTCTGAAAACTGCTGATCTTGTGAAAAGGAATATCAGGTAGAGTTGCCAGATAAAACAAAATGTCCAGTCTAATTTGAATTTCAGATAGCCAATAAACAATATGGAACTTGCTTTACTAAAAAATGACTCATGGTTTATCTGAAATTCAAATTTAAATGGGTGTCTTGTATTTTTATTTGCTAATTTAGCAACACGTATAGCAGGAAAGATTCAGAAGAGACAAGAAAAACTTAGGGCAGACAGTGGGCTTCTGACCCAGGAGAGGAAGGAGAATCCTTCCTGGAGCCATCTCGAAGCTGAAGGCACAGGAGGCCTGGAGAGCTGAGGGCTGGAGTTTACAGTGAGGGGAATGATCCTCCCCGACCTGGGCTCCAGGCCCACCCACACTGAAGACACCCAGGCTGCTGAGAATGAGCAAGAAACCGCAGGAGGCGGTGGAAAGTGAACTGGCATCGTGCTGTTGCTGTTAAATGAGGAAGTGACACTGGGTGAGTGCAGGGCCGGGCAGGCGGGGCAGGGACGGGCTGAGGCCCCTGGAGGATGTCAAAGCATGAGGCCACGAGGTCCCTGGCTCCTCTCTCCCCCTGTGCTCTGCTAGAAATAGCTGTGGGTACAGTAGGCTGAGGTCATCAGGTTGGGGGTGAATCTTCAGGTCTGGGTGGGGCCCTGATACAGTTGTGGGGGCTTCCGGCCAGATGGTAGGAAAACCTAAGATGCATATTTGAGGCTGAAAATAAGCAGAGAGGCAAAGTGGTGGCCTCAGGAGCCACCCAGAAGAGCCACTCTATCCTCTGATCAGCATAGGGAACTCTGAAGACTCCCCAGTGAGAGACAGGCT